TAGGTAGATTTATTTTTAACTCTAAACATTTGCAAATATCATGTGTTGGTCAATCACCATTATAACGACCACTTTATTGATATATATAGTCAATTAAAGTTAATTTTACGATAAAAAATGAGCATTATGTCACTTTAGCAAGCCTGTATCTCCTTTATTATATCAGATAAGAAATTTATTCATCATATTGACATGTGTAAAATGAAAAATATGATAAATGTTAATTAAGAATAACTGCATTTACACAAGGCCTTATGTACCTATAAGCCACCTTATATTAACAAATATCAAAGTATTACATACAGAGTCAAAGTTAATAAGAGTATTACTATTACTGTGTGAATGAAATGACAGTTTATTTAATCATTATGTGCCACACTCATAATCATCAGATTTTTAACTTGGCTTAACAATATAAGAGGATTCTACATGAAAATTTATGATCTGGAAGATTAAAAATATCAAACTACCTGTATATCAAGTAACTGATTTTCAAATCCTCTTTATAATTAAAAGATACAATTTGAGTACATAATTTTTATAATATACCCAATTTGCCGAAAATATGTTTGAAAACATGTTAAAAGGCAATTCTTTGTATATTGTTATACATCATGTCAGAAGAAGTATAGAGATAGCAAAACGGTTAATAATTCGAAACTGGCTAATAATAGATTACTTGGTTACCTACAATGTAATGAGAATAGCTGACTTTTTAAAAATAAAGAAGTCTCATCAATGATTTAACATATGCTCCATTTGTATCATTGTGAACCATGCAGTAAATTCTACTTATAGCATACTTATAGATCTATATAAGTACAATCTTAGAAATGTATGGAGTCTTTGATAACATTAAGGTTGGACATGTAAAATTACATGAAAGAATGTTTAATTGAATTTGTTTTATCAAAGAATAACCAATATCAATATTTATGTTGTGTAGTAGGTTTATAATATTACATTTGTTACGTGATAAAGTAACAACATTGTCTATGATTTCAACTGATTATGAGTGTCACGTAACCTATTATGAGTAAGCGGCCCGGGACCGAGAACTACTTACCAGCCCGCTGAACATGTACACATTACACGTGCACAAACTGAAACAATGATGTCACATTTTACGTAATCAAACAGTTAATTGTAAAAGTGAAAGTAGGTTTTAAGCATGAATCGCTTGATTTTATTATGAGAGCTGAAGCGTATTTTGTACACACACAGTTTTATTACTATTGAAATTCAAAGAAATAATACGACAAATTCATTCCGAAAAAATGAAAATAATAGATTATTTGCTTCCAGGTTGTACAGTTGATATATTGAACTTTGAATATACAAAAAAAACTCTGTAGAAGTTACTGTACAGTAGAAATGCAGACAGGAATTTCAACGACAGAAATTTCAAAGAATTTTTTTTTAGAAAAATGCTGCTATTACATTTAATGCACCATGTGTATTAAAGACATTTATACACGGCTTAGTTGTGGCAGAAGGTGATAATCGATCCGCAAAATGAAAAATGGCCCCGATCTTTAATTTGGACAGCCTAAACGTGAATAATTCCTCTTTGTAACATATAAGTTCATACTTAATTGAACCCCAGATAGCCTTTACTCCATTTTAGTTTGGCAGGGGTTCAATGCTAGTTTATAAACATGTGTATAATGCTATTGATTGTACATAAAAAATAAGATTAATTATATATTTACAAACATACCAGCTGTTTATTATTTACATGGAAGCAAATGGAAGAGGTATAAAATTTAAATGGAGTCTTAATAAGACATTGTAGTTATCATGTAAGCCATCACCAAATTTTGATTGATCATGTACTGAGGACAATCAAATGAAAGTGAACAGTCAGTATTTAATTAAGACAAAATAAGTGTGATTTTGTGGTTTAATATTCACTATGTGAGATAGTTTTAAAGATATATTTGAAAGTTTATTATTATTAAAGACCTATCATGACATTTTTCATATGTTTTTTATTTAATAGGAAAGCCACGAAAACTTTTATATTGATTTATAGAATTTGATGTGGATTTTTTTAATTTAGGCCCTTCGAGATGTTTTTTTATTATATTTTGTATAAATATAGAAGTTTCTATATTATATTGATAGTGTTTTTTTATATTTGTTAAACCTAAAATTGATAAATTGGGGTTATTTCACTAAGTATTGTCTGTTTACAGGTTATGTTAAGTTTTAATTGAAACAAATTACTTCCTTATTTTAAATTATAGTGAATGTCTGTAGGTTAACCTTTCTCATTTAAATATTAATTAAGTTATTTTGTGATATTTACTACAAAAATTAAAGAATTAATTAGAGATAGAATTTACAAATTATGTGTGAATAAATAAACAGGTGTCAAGGGACTATAAAACATACAAACTGGGTCCCAGTATTAGTTTTATTTAGAGATTATTATAAATATGTGCGTGATCAATTGATACATTATCAGTTTACAGATAATATTTTCAATTTAATGTCAGGAGGAGGGACTTGAGCATGTATGATAAACTATTCATTTTCCCTCATGTACAGACTCAATCAAACCGAGTCTGCGATTCTCTGTAATTTTGTTGTGATTAATGCCTCCGAGGGATCATTTTGTTTCCAGATTTTAACACTCTTATCTAAGAGACTACAGTTTTGTTCCAAATATACTTGAAATTGGTCGGAAAGGTTGTTGAAATGATGATTTCTAGGTCAACTTTTAATGTCAAAATCTAGGTCACACAGTCCCACAATGGAAAAACCTTGCTTACGCTCTAGAGGCTTCTGTTTTGATCCAAACATTTGAAAAATGGTCAGAAAGGCTATTTTGTTAATTTCTATGTAAAGTTCGAATATGGGTCTTCTGTGGTCAAAAACTAGGTCACGCAGATGAAATAAAATGGTGTTGAGCCTGCATAATTAAGTGAACTAAAGAGGTAATTTCAAACAGTAATTAATGTTGATTTAATTAAATTTTAGGCATTACTGGCAAATAAAGTGACAATAGATTCAGTGTCATATATTTTCGCGATTTATGGATTATTTAAGTTTATCTTTTTATTTGTAAATCTTATCCAAATATATTGTGTAATTATTTTATATTTCACTTTTGGCGTAGAACATAATGTTACATCATTGTTTTATACGTGAGCCTAGGAAACACCATTATTGATTGGGGCGCGATAAATAATATAATAGCTCTACTATGGTTCCAGAATCTCATAGCTGTCTCTGGAGTCTTGTAGTATGTTTGATATTTGTTGCAAATATGCAATATTTCAAAATAAGAGTCACAAATCGAGAAGAGAAAGGCATATGCCTGCTTGAGTGTAATTGTATAATGATTTTGAAGCACTGCAGTATGTCTATGATGTAGAGGTAGATGTTAAAGAAAATGGAGTTAAACTGTTAAAGAAATTGTAACGCTTATTTTTCACAGTTACTAAGATGTTTATCAGACTTAGAAATGTAATTACATCACACAATTATGATTAGAACTACCAGCAGTCATCGAAATAAGTCAAATAACCCACTTGCCTGAAGCCCGGGAAGTTAAAATTATAATTAATCAGTCTTTTTTCTCTGTTTATGCAGTCCTCCAAGGGTAAGCATATAGTTGCCACTTTGTCCGACCCGCCATCTGTCCGTCTGAATTTTGTTTCCCTGTTAGTTGATAGTTCTCTGCAACTACTGGCTGGAATTCAAGGAAGCTTTATGGAAACCATCAATATCAAGTGAAGAATCCCTGGTCATCGGCTTGTTCTGGCCAGACCCTTTAACTCGAAATTATGGCCCTTGATAAGTTATGCAGTATGCGTATAGAGCAATAATCATTTCCTTGCTACTTCTCTACAGCTAATGGCTGGCATTCAACAAAACTTTATGGGAACCTTCAATACCAAGAGGAAATGAGCATACCATCGCCTTGTAACAGCGCTTATCGTCCGACGTGGGCTTGTTCCAGTCAGACCCTTTAACTTATAGCTTTGGCCCTTGATTAGTTATGCAGTTTTATTGCATATAGAGCAATAATACTTTTCACGCAATTTCTCTGCAACTAACGGCATGAATTCAAAAAAACTTTATGAGAACCATCAATACCAAGAGGAGATGGGCATATTGTCGCCTTGTACCAGTCAGATCCTTTAACTCTGAGTTATGGCCCTTGATTAGTTATAAATGCAATTTGCATATAGATCAATAATCGTTTCCGTGCTATTTCTCTGCAACTACTTGCTGGATTTCAACGAAACTTTATGGGAACCTTCAATATCAAGAACAGATGAGCATATCATGGCCTTGTTCCGGTCAGACCCTTAAACTTAGAGTTATGGCCCTTGATAAGTTTGCAGTATGCATATATAGCAATAATCTTTGTCGCGCTATTTCTCTGCAACTACTGGCTGGAATCAACAAAATTTTTTGAGAACCATCAATACCAAAAGGAGATGCGCATAATGATGCCTTGTTTTAATCAGACTCTTCAACACAGAGTTATGGCCCTTGATTAGTTATGCAGTATGCATATAGAGCAATAATCATTTCCTTCCGATTTCTCTGCAATTACTGGCTGGAATTAAATGAATCTTTATTGGAACAATCAATATCAAGGGGAGATGCGCATATCATTGCTTTGTTCCGGTCAGAGCCTTCAAGACATAGTTATTGACCTTGATTTGTTTTGCAATATTCATATAAAGCAATATTGCTATTTCTTTTCAACTACTGATTTGATTTCAACCAGACTTTATGGGAATCATCAATACAAAAAGGAAATTTGCATGTCATGATAAACTTATATAAATAAAGCCTTACCTGGTATGTATTCAGTTGTTGTGTTAGTAATAACCAGTACTAGTCGGGGGATATGAATTTAACGAATTTGCTTGTAATTTTACTGCAATAAGACCAGACTAAAAATGTTGCTTTGTTAAAGTTCTTTTAAAGTTTCTAAACTCTATGTATTCTTCAGCAATCATTGACACTGAGTGAAAGTGCCTTAATGGAGAAGACAAAAACGATGTTACAATGGTTAGAACAGCAGAGACAGCAAATCCGAAACAAAGGTGCAGATGATTCATACCCTCAGATCAAGAAACGATAGAGAGGCCTCATGATGAAGTTACAAGAACAACAAGAAGTGATTCACAGAATGAGAGAAGAGAATAAAGCAGCAGCAAAATAGCTACCGGTATGTTAAGTTTTGAGAAAATGTTTTTTATTTTTTAAATTATGATTTATACATAAATAAATAATTTTATGGTCAGCTATTTCACTGTGGTGCCTAAACTTAAACACTGGCTAGGCAAAATGTTTAAAGTCACTTGATGAGAATTCTTGTCTACTCACCACTGTGGTTTCAAGTTTAGCAATAACTTGTAAAAGTTTTCATGTAAGAAAGTTATCTAGCTAACATGATAAAGTTGTCTTAGGATGCCTTGTTCTGCAAGAAGGTTGTCTGAGGGTGTCTACCTCACTGTGCATGAAATAAAGCAAATAGGAGCACCTGAGGTCTTCCTCCAACATTAATGCTAGAAAGTCTTCATATATAAAACTTTTTCCATTGAAAATCAATTAAAGACTTACAATGTTACCTGTTCAATTAGATATTTCTTGAAATATAAAGTTGATTGTAGTTTTATTGGTATCTAATATATAACTTCGTTTGTTACAGAGTAAGTCAAAGTCTGTAGCTGCACAAAGAGGTACATTGTAGGGGTTGGATGCCCAAAAGAAGTTCACACTGAGGCAGAAGTTAGCTCGGTGAGTAAAGTGATACGTAAATATTTGTATTTTTGTATGTATCATCGTGGTTGAATAAAAAGTTAGCTCTAGTAGGCACAGATTCCTATTTTAAACATGCATTCTCAATACGACTTACAGAATAGGTAAAAAAGCTTTCCACGCAGCATGTACATCTTATTATGTGCTATATATTTTATTCAAAGCATCTGTTCCGTTAAACATGTTCCATGTTAGTTAAGTCAAAACAAAAAAGTGATTAAATGTCATAATTTGACAAAATATTTATCGCACAATAGTAAAAAATTAAACGTACGTGACTGTCTCTGTAAGAAAAATGATTTTTAAATCTTATCATGATTTAATACACCCATAAACACTTTCAATATGATCTACGTAAATAACCGAGGTATATCGATTGAAAAATAGGAGTTGCTTCCCTTATCTTAGAGTAAAATCGTTACTGCTTATGCTAAAACAATACAAAATAAGCCGTTTTTAAACCGCTAGTTTGTTGTGATTAAATGTCCGATTTTAAAATGTATTACACCATCAGAAAACTTTGGATCTTAGCTTCATCACAGTATAAACTTCAACATATCTTTTGACACCAAAGTATCTAAATAAACTGTTAAACCTACCATATGTCAGACCATTTTACATACCATTTATACAGTGAGATACGCAACCATTATCTTTACTCGAAATACTACTGATAAGAATAGCCTGTCGTCTGCTAGTTCTGAAGGTGTTTATCAGTGTATTGGTCTTTTATAAAACAATTGTTTGGTGTTTTTTTATGCCCCCACAACGTGGGGAGCATATAGCGTTGCACTTGTCCGTCTGTCCATACGAACCCAGAGGTACTTGTGTGACTTGGAAAACAATGGACAACAGTAAATTCTCTTTGATCCTATTTATTCCGTTTCTACTTGTGTGTCTTTTTTTAAGCCTTGTGTGACTAAAAATGGCCAAAAAGATCAAAGGAAAAGTCACAAAAGTACCATTTTGTGAGTTTGTCCCTACGTCCCAAAATCTTGTGAATGCAACTCCTCTTAAACCGGATGGCAGATTGCTTTAACTTCCAGGGATGATAGTAAAGGAAGGAATTTTTTGCTGCGACCAAATTTAACAGAATTATGGCCCTTTGTTGATTTTTTCACTATATACTATGTAAAAGTTTTGTGAATGCAACTCCTCTTAAACCGGATGGCAGATTTTGCTTAAACTTCCAGGGATGAACAACCTTAATGTGTAGATGGAAGTAAAGGAAGGAATTTATGATGCGACCAAATTTAACATAATTATGGCCCTTTGTTAATTTTTTCACTATATACCATATAGAAATTTTGTGAACGGAACTCCTCTTAAATTGGAAGGCAGATTTTGCTTTAACTTCCAGGGATGAACAGCTTTAATGTGTAGATGGTAGTAAAGAAAGAAGTTTTTGCTACGACCAAAAACAGAAATATGGCCCTTTGATGATTTTTTCATTATATACCATATAAATAATTGAACATATAAATTTTACATTTGTAATTTAATTTAACATGAATGTAAGGTTACCTGTAGATCATTTTAGGTACATGTATATGTACAGAAATGAAACAGTGGAATGAAAAAGTTCCACATAAAAATCTTACAGTCAAATAACAGAAAAATAACTGCATGACAGGAAAAGTGTTTATAGTATGCTAGATAGTTCCAATTTCCAAGGAGGGCAAGTCCCTTGACAAACTATCAGGAAAAGGGTTACACTTCATTTGGCATGGAAATGATTTGGATTATTTTTCTAGGTAAGACTTGTGTCATCTGGCAACCAGGAAGTTTCTTCAGAGTTTACAGTCAGATCAAGCCAGGCACCATTTTTACCCCCATTTTGTTACCTTGGATGTGTCTTAATAGGTATTTGGTAATTTCTGTTTGTATTGTGTTAAAATAAATTGTGATAATAAATTGAAAGTCCATGTTCAATTACTTGTATGATACTTTAATATATACCAGTGTCACAAAACTGTATCTTATAGCAGTTGACTTCAAATTGACACAATAAAGTTTATAAACTTTATGGTGAGATAACAAAGTTTAAAAAGGATTAAAAATGAATAAAGAAATTTAAAAATGTATGAATCTTCACAAGGTGTGTATGAATTAACATAATATGACTGAATTTGCTATGTTTATAACCACATTTTTATCATGTTTTAAACTTTATAAACAGAGTAGGGCTACATTTTATAACAATGTACCATTTCAGGAAATTGTTTAAAGCATCTTTCTTACAAGCAGATTTATAGGCCATTGGTGTTTTATGACTATATGTTTGTTTCTTTGTATGTTCAGAAGAAAATGCATAAATGCTCCGTAATTACCAACAAGTTGTAAATAAATAATAATTGAATAATATTTTGAAACTTTTTACACTACAAGAAACAAAAATGATGGTACCATTTGACAGTAGAAATGTCTGAAGTGATTTAATCTTAAATGTGTATTTGTTACAGATATTACATAGCCGAAGATGTCCATATTTACTCACAGGACACATGGAAATAGGAGATTGGAGAGCAGGGGAAACAACTGGTACATCAGACAAGTGGTAAGTCACGCTCAATCTTCTCTTTCTTGCTGTTTAACCAGACACTATGACTGAATTTTATGCGCCCATTTAAAAAATGGGACATACTTATAATATAGGAATGCCTGGCGGGCAGGGAGATGGAGTGCGGGTGTCATCCAATTTTGTCTGGAGCATATCTCTTTCACAAAGAGAGAGACTTTAATGAAACTTCATTGAAATGTTAACCACTATGAGCACCTATTTTTGCACACATGAACCAGGTCTCTACGTCAAAAGTCATGGTCACACTTAGAGGTCATTGAAAAATGCTTGTCTGGAGCAAAACTTATACATACATTAGGGATTCAGTATAACTTGGCATAAATGTTAACCATTATATGGCTTAGTGTTGTGCCCAAAATTGGTCCCTGCGGCCATATCAAGGTCACACTTTGCGGTCATTTAAAATACAAATTAGTTAAAATTGTGTGTGTCAGAAACAAATGCTAGTGTTTGTAAAAAGAATGATTTCATGTTATAACAGTAGATGGACCTATTGCAGTAAGTACTATTCAGCCCATACATAAATAGAGAAGGTGAAACAGCATTGACTGCAGAATTAATGTGGGCCATTTTGAAAAATGAGGTCAAACACAAATTTTTATTTTGCCCTAATTAAAGGGGCATCTGTGGCTGAGTGATTTAGGATGTTGACTACATACAACTTGCCCTTCTTGCTATGCGTTTGAATCCCATCACAACCTTTGAATTTTTTCATGTGAGGAAGCTATCCATATAGCTTATGGACCCTTGGTACCGTGGTTCTACTCAGGTTCCCTTTTGTGCCTTAGATAATACACTGAGTGGCACCTGATATCTGTCTAAACCAGAAAAGTTGGAAAGTCGCCATGTAACCTTTACAGCGTTGGTGCAATGTAAAACCCAACATAAATTATTACATATAGATTTATATGATTCTCATCATGTTAAAGAGTCAAATATTTGACATATACTATAGTGTTAACAGTCAAACAAGGACACATATAAGGTTAGTTTATTTATTTATTTTTTAGCACACTGTCCAGTTCCATGATCTGTGGGGAGAATAGTCTACTTGATATATATAAGGCAAAGTTGTTTCAATAATGTAAGATTAAAGTAATTAAATGGACTCAGAAATCAACATTGTTTTCTTAATTGTCAAGGTACATTTACCTCCCTTGTATTCACAGTACTGAAATCAGTACTTGTTTCTATCCATAGTTAGAAGTAAAATCCACTGTTAATTGATAACAATTTGAGTTTAATTGGATCATAAGTTGACAGTGTAAACAAAGTTATATTTTGCCAGTCAGCTTATGTGTGCAATCTGACCAATTTAAACCGGCTCGAAATATATGAAGGTCTGTTCCAGTGTGGCCATACCACGTGACACTGACGTCATTTTCGGCATCATTTCCAAGACAAATGTTGCTCGATTCGGAAAAGAAAATAGCCGTAAATATTTTATTTCTGTACCAATTTCTTTGGGATATGCACCAGTCTACGGGGAAAAATATAAGCTTTCCACAGAATATTGGATCTTCGTCAGTTTATAAGCCGTTTTATCAAACACTTTGCATAACCTTGGAAGTTGCTTGTATTGGGGCGGGCTTCAGTTGCAAGCTATTTCGTTTTCTTGCGTCATCTGGTCTACGTCATGATTAAAAAGTCAGGTTTACATCAACCGGGAGTACGGAAGGCAACACTGTACCTAAATATGTTCATATTTTTATAATGAGTGACATAAATCTTAAATTTTTCTTCAATTGTCAATTCTGGCACCAGTTCCAAGTCGAAAAAAAGGACTACAGTTTAAAGCAGATTTTAGAATCCGTTGCAAATGCAAAGCAACATGCCTACCGTTCTCTTTCTACAATTTAGTTTTTCATTGTTGATCTTTCACAGAGAGATGGTGAAAAAACTGATTGTTCCTAAAAGCAATAACACTTAATTGTATCGCAAAAGTGCACGTCAAATCACGTAGATTTAGTCCTGTCGGAAAATAATATTTTGGTTTCGTTTTGAAGATGTTTAAAGTATTGCTCATATTATCCTATGTAGTAAAATGTGTTTTATTCTATTTCACAATGGCGAAATTGATAAGAAATATATATGTGCTCTCAGTGAGAGAAAGAGTTAAAATAAAAAAAAACACTTTTGTATGCTATGGAAAGGGTTACACTTTAACGCGAGTGTTGTAAAGCTAAAGGTATTTTTTCAGTTTATTTTTGTAAAGAGTAACTGACAAACACTGACACTCGTGAATGTGACGAATAGGTTCCTTCTGTCTTCAAAAAGAGAAGACTTTTAAAAATTTAATAATATTTTTTCTGGAATTTTGTAATAATAAATTTCTAGAGTTTGATAAACGAAATCAACAATTTTTTGAACTTTGGAGCTTTTGCCGTGTAAATCTGATAGTATTGTACTTAGTTGCATGTACTTGCCGATTCTCTATTTAAAAAAAACGGGGGGGACCCCAAAATAAGGCCATGGAAATAAGAACGAGAATGGACGCCATGTGGAGTTAAGCAAAGTAGAAAAATAGTAAACAGATAAATGATTTTACAAACCAACAGCCATCGATCCACAGTCAAAATTTTCTTTTGAAACCAAAACATTTCAAAAAGACGGAAATAACAATGATTTATTCAATAATTATGTAGATATTTTACATTAACATCTGTAATAGCAACATCGGCAAGATCTATGACTGGGGTTCATATGCCACTGATGCGTCCATTGAATAATTGATAGCTAACATAAGCTTAGTAAAATAACGATTACATTTGAAGAGTATATTCAATTTTTATCCTTCAACTGTCAAATGACTTACTTCTTTATTTACATATCAGATAATTCACTTTTTACTAGTATATGCGTCATGTTTATCATGTTTTAGATTTTAATGTGTGGTCCTTTTTTAAATCTTAAAATGCTACAAAAAGCCTGTTGAGGACATCTGCAGGTCATGCCGTGTGCAATAATCCATGCATTTACAGCCAATGACTACATCGATAAGAAATAGTCCCAAATAGCCCTCTCGTTTTTATTCAGTTGAAAAAGACATTATTGTTAAAAAGTTCTACTCGATTTAAATGTTTTCAAACCATAAATATTCCGTTCCCTTCCTCTCTTTACAATGTACACTGAACAAAAGTTCTAACCGATCACCCTGAGTTTTCGCTTATATATGAAAAAGAATTATACCAATAGATCCGACTTTTATTTTATTTCAAAGAGAATGAACACATTGAGAATAATAAAATTATAACATTCTCTATTTAAATAATACTTTATCGATATTAAAAAAAAATATTTCTATAAACAGCCACTCACCTGTCTGATAGAGGCTCCAGCATTCAACATTCCAATTGCTTTGGCACAATCCTGCATCAATGTTCGTGTCATATTTTATGTTTTTTCACTTATAAAGTTAATAAGGATTAATGCAATGTAAAATTTAATACTCACCACGCTCTGCACGAACATTTCGTGCCAAAATGTGTAAACCGCGCCCTGTCTCGCGCGTGAGTGCATGGAACCGTATTAAATTAGCTTTCATTCCACAAATCGGTAGAAAATGACACAAAAATCACCTCTGCAAAATTTTATGAGGATCCATTGACCCGTTATAAATTAATAAAAATTTAAAAAGTGATCGGTTAGAACTTTTGTTAAGTGTATATTGGTGAGCTCTCTGATAAAGCTGAGTTGACTGATATAATTAACTAAATTTGTCAGATATGCAGTTTATCAACAGAAATAAATGCAATTACAAAATAGATGGTGTTTAAAAGTGTGTTTAATAGTGTTCTTAAGTGAACGAAGTTATATCCAGTTCACGAAAAACGGTTACCGTGGGTATGAAAACAGGATGTAAAAATATTTTTTATCAACGAGTGCCACTGTTCTATCATACCAAAACATTGCTACAGGTTCTTTATATATATAATATTTTGGGCAATATTTAGGGTTTCTGTTTTCAATTCCACGTTTAGTATTGCTACATGACACAAATAGATTTTTCATAATCATTACCGTGAAAGAACAATGATTAAAGAGCAAATCAATTTCTTTACAAATACAGACAACAAGTTTACGACTTTTAAAATCACTTATAGCGCAGCGAGTAAAAATCATTTAAATATTCATTTGTGTTTATGTAAATCGTATAGTAAATAAAATGTTTTTCATGGTTAACATAATTATAGAAAGAGAACGGTAGGCATGTTGTTTTGCATTTGCAACGGATTCTAAAATCTGCTTTAAACTGTAGTCCTTTTTTTAGCTCGACTTTTCTATGAAAAGGGGAGCTATCCTACTCGCCCCGGCGTCGGCGTTGGCGTCACACCTTGGTTAAGTTTTTCGTACCACCCCACTTTATTTCAGAAGTATTACAAGTATGGCTTTGAAACTTACCATACTTGTTCACCATCATAACCTCCATCTACAGACAAGAGTACATAACTCTGTCAAGGTTTTTGACAGAATTATGGCCCTTTTTTGACTTAGAAAGTGTATTGAGCTTGGTTAAGTTTTTTGTACCACCTCACTTTATTTCAAAACCATTGGAGGTATTGCTTTGAAACTGACCATACTTGTTTACCATCACGACCTTCATCAACAGACAAGAGGACATAACTCTGTCAAGGTTTTTGACAGAATTATGCCCCTTTTTGACTTAGAAAATACATTGAATATGGGTAAAATCCACTTATTGCCTTAACCCTTTGAGATATTGCTTTGAAACTTTTAATGCTATTTCACATCATTACCCCCATCTGTACGCAAGAGAAGGTAACTCTGTCAAGGATTTGTTTTAAAAATTAAGGCCTTTTATCGACTTAGAATCTTGGTTAAGTTTTTAGTACCAGTCCACTTTTTGACTGAACTGTTTGAGATATTAATTTGAAAGTTGGAATACTTGTTTACAATCATGATTCCCAAACATGTCCAGGAGAAGGTAATTCTGTCAAAGATTTTATTTGAATTATGGCCCTTAAATGTCAATGTTTTGTATTATAGGCAAGCACTAAAAAACTTAAAAAATCTAAAAAAATTCATTCCTATCCACTTGTTCACTTTACCATAAATTATGTCATAATAAAATAATTCTTCACTAAATATCTTAATGCTCATGGCCATTGTTCACTTTAAAAATACAGAGATTCTTGTATTGCCTTTTACTGCAAAAACTTTTTTTATTGGCAAGCAATAAAAAAGTCGAGCGCGCTGTCTTACGGACAGCTCTTGTTTGACTTGGAACTGGTGCCAGAATTGACAATTGAAGAAAAATTTAAGATTTATGTCATTCATAATAAAAATATGAACATATTTAGGTACAGTGTTGCCTTCCGTACTCCCGGTTGATGTAAACCTGACTATTTAATCATGACGTAGACCAGATAACGCCAGAAAACGAAATAGCTTGCAACTGAAGCCCGCTCTAATACAAGCAACTTCCAAGGTTATGCAAAGTGTTTGATAAAACGGCTTATAAACTGACGAAGATCCAATAGTCTGTGGAAAGCTTATATTTTTCCCCGTAGACTGGTGCATATCCCAAAGAAATTGGTACAAAAATAAAATATTTACGGCTATTTTCTTTTCCGAATCGAGCAACATTTGTCTTGGAAATGATGCCGAAAATGAGGTCAATGTCACGTGGTATGGCCACACTGTGTTCTGGTAATGAATAATTTAACATTTGTGGTGAATATCAGAAATTGCTGCTCAAATTAACTCCAAACATATGATAACAGATATCATTGTTACATTAAAATTGTTTTTAAAATAAACTTTAAAGTTATGTCGAAAAAATTTACCTACATAATGTATATTTGTATTTATAGGTGAACAAAGATGATCTGAACATGTAAATTCCAAGTTTGTTAGAGGCTCTTCTCATCTGTTTTAGTGATGACAGCTGGCCAGTTAGAGATGGGTAAAATGTCTAAAACAAACCTTAGTTATAAATAATCAGAGTCCTTGCAAAGGATTTTCATATGGGTATTAGCATGAAACTTGACACTTGTTTAAGGGTAATAGTTGCGTATATTTTCTAGACATATAACTCTTGCAGAAATTTTTTTCTTACTGCATTATACCTTTTCTCAAACTCCATAGAAAATTCATTGTTAATGTTTTTCATTAAATGTCTGTCTCAACAACTTCTCTTTCTTTATGATTGTTGGTTGACAGCCGCAACCCATAACTGTAGCATTGATACTTACGATATGATTTTCCTGTTTGACTGTCTCTCTATTTATTTTCATGTTCATAGCAGCAGTTTATTCCATATGTTCATTCAACTCTGGAAGCTCATATAATGGGCAAAGACTTGTTTACTTTTATCTGTAGAAAAGGCTTTTCCAATCTGATTACATTATTTTCTAATGTTTAAGAATGTTTGCTGGAGAACAAGTTATTTTATTCTTGTTTTAACTTGTTCAACAATTTTAGTAATGAAGCTACACGAATATAATATTCTTTATATCACATATCCAATATAAGAACTTTTCATTGATGCACTTTTAAAAGTGTAACACTGACATTCCCTGCGTCTTTTTTCACTATGATTGTATAACGTAAATGATAACAAATCAAAATGCACGGCCTGTGCATTATTATTTTTACAGAGTCGCAAAAGCAGCACAGGTATGTGATAAAGTATAATAATTCACTGTTTATTGTTCAAATGCTTTGTAATTAATCACTAAGGTTTTTCGGCCTTTGTGATTGTATTTCTGCGTATTTGAACTCTACGATGCATTTTTATGCAACAAAACAATCATAATTGATATTTTCTAAATATAAAATCCAATATAGATCAACTGTATTTTTCAGGTTATCTATACCAGCATTGTATCCATTGTTTTTCAACAATCAACAAGATAATAAACCATCAGTGCGGGGGCGGCCCTTGCTCTCCCAAGAGCATAAGGTATATACAGTTTTTAGTCATTCCAAACCTAATACTATAGTAGCTTATTATAAGCATTATAACTTAAGATCTTTGATGAAGTATTTAATGCTTAGAACTTTTAAATGCTATCAGCAAAATATTGTTACAAATTTATCCACTACATGAAATGGCTGAAATTAAGAAGGGGCCTCTGTGGTCAAACAGTTGCAGTCACTAACTTTGGATCATTTGCATCTTATTGCAACAGTTCAAATTCCAACAAGACCTTATAGCCCTTTTATATGGGAAAGCTATTTAGCTAGCTTAAGTGAGGTCAGTGGTTGCACCCAAGTGTCCAGCTTGATCTGAAAGAATGCCCAGAGGTTTTATTTATCACTTAAGCTTTATAATGGTCATACATGGCCAAGACTTTTATTCATAGCAATAAAATAATTGCAAAATAACAGTTTAACTGATATTGAAATTTGTTGTTACAATTTAAACTTAGCCTACTTTATATGAACATACCATTTAATTACTTTTTTGTGGAGCAGAAATAGGAAAAAATTGGGACATTAGAATCTAACAGACTATGGTAGTATATATAGCATATTTATTACTGTTGTATTGCCGACTATTTTATTAGGTCAAGTTTTGGGGGATTTCAGTGAAACTTCACAGGATTGTTTGTTACCAAGCATAGTTCTGCATACTCTCTTTATTTTCCGCTTGATTTTGTTTGCACAGTTATGGCCCCCTAATGGTCAATTTTCGGGTAAAATAAGCTTGTCCGCGCTTTCATCACCAAAACTGCTGGGTGGATTTCAGCGAAACTTTGCAGTATTGTTTGTTACCTAGCCTAGTTGTGAATGCTCTCTTTATTTTCTGCTTGATTTTTTTTGCACAGTTATGGCCCCCTAATGGTCAATTTTTCGGGTAAAATAAGCTTGTCTGCACTTTCCTCACCAAAACCGCTGGGTGGATTTCAGCGAAACTTTGCAGGATTGTTTGTCACCATGCCTAGTTGTGAATAGTCAATTGATTTTCAACTTAATTTTCTTTTACATAACTGTCACAACTTCCCTTTGTAGGCATAACTCACTTTTCATTGACAGCTCTTGTTTCCTACATTTCTTTGACCATGCTTTAAATTGCTTTAAATATTTTAGATCAAATAAAAGTTCCGAGATCTGATCTGAAGAAGTTTGCAGAAGTGTTTTATGCTGTACCCCATGAGGAGAAAGTAATAAACTCTATAATTTCAAGTGCCGTAGATGAATTCTAGGAACAAAGACAGTATGGCGAGCCATTAACCGATCTCCACCCTTCAGAAGCATTTTATACACATGAAGAGATTGGCTCAGATTTGATAAGTAACAGTAGACGTGTGTTCAAGAAACTATTATTTGACTTACCTGGTAGATTATTAGAAACATTTATAAAGAGGAAGAATATTATTCTCCTGTTGCTTGGCACAAACCAAAAAGAAAAACTAACACATTTCACAAAGGTGCTTCCCCTCCGACTACTATAGATGAGCTAAAACCCGTGGTTCAGGAAGCAGTTATTGACATATAAGGTTTAAATGGGGCCAAAAAATCATTGGAAAAAACTAAATGAGGTATTCGTGAAAGAAGGATTTTGTTGACACAATTTTGGTGCAAAAATTGCGCGAAGAAGAGCCTGAGTGGGTTAATTATGATGACGATGAATTGGCAGTGAAAATGCAACTAACTGAAAAAAATATTTAATGATTTATTGACAGATACTGTTCAGACAATGAACAAAATCTTTCGCAAGAAGCAAAGTTTGCAGCAGTAGACATAGGCAGCTATTTGATCTGGATTATGTAAAAGCTTTTGTGATCTGATTTCATGCAGATGCTTTTTTCTGATCTGAGTGATGCAGTTACAGCTAAATGAGTGATCTGAGTATATAAGAGCTTGCACATGAATTTTATATTCTGGGGTTTGAATTGAGGACAGTGAATCACAAGTAAAATGGTTTCCTGCGGTGAACATTTTAATGATATAAAGATATTTCATTTAACTATTTTCAAGATTTTTTTTTTTTTTTTGGGGGGGGGGGAATAAATAAACGTTTGTATCAGGAATATAGTGGACAGTTGAATATAGAAGAAGGTCAGAAAATATCTCTATTTATTATGGCAAATGCCCTTACGAATATTTTAATTATGTAAATTTTCAGTATAAACAAAATTCATTGTTTGTTAAATTTGAGTAGACTTTAAAAAATATTTAATTTTAAAACACATCATTAAAAATTTTCCCACCTTAAACGGTAAAAAATTTTTAAAAAAATTAGAAATTTTAAGTAATAATTTTTTGTTTTGTAAGCTGTTAAATTTGGGCTAATTCCCTAAGGGAAAAACCCTAAAGACCGGGAAACGGTTTAGCTAGGTTTTTTAAAAGGTCAATTTAAACCCAAACATGTCGTTTTCAATAATGTCCTGATGTTTCTGAAAAAGGGAGTGCTCCCCCATGCCTCAAAAAATTAACACGTCCAAAACCCTTTCGGTCTCCAGACGCGGGAATGAAATCGAGTAAAATTGGGGGATTATGTCTAAGGGAATTTTTTTATAACCTTTTTGCATTTGAAATATATGGGATTTTATTTATATTTTTTCTACTCTAGTTAGATGATATTGCTCATGTATCAGTGTTAGTTTATTTTGAAATGTTAGATATATTTATTGTTTCAATGCTGAAAAAGACTTACTGATGGTCTAACAGTACCAGTGTAACATGCAGGTCAAAGCCTGAAGTCCAGTCTGTAAAGAATGCAAGTTATACATGTATAAACTTTAAGAAATTGTGATACCCTTGCATTTTTATACTCTTGTTGGTAACTTTTGAAAGTCGTTGATTTCATTGAAAATGAAAGTGCTCAATTTGAACATTGAGGAAAGATTGTATTTTATTAACTAGTTGCAGGGATTTTTTTTTCATAGATCTGTGATATTTGTTTTGTAATGATATATTGTGAAATTTAGATTGTTTGTTTAAGACATAAACTGTCCAGTCTTGTCTTAAACTAATGGAAGATTAGGCATGCTCACTTGTGACATAATTAATGCACAGAAGGGCAGCTGAGGTCTACTTTAAATTGCCAAGTATATACAGTAAACAGATAAATTACCATGATTAGAAAAGATAGAATAATGAAATACCTGAGATACATTGTTAAATGTAGCTTACAGTTCACACATGCACATTTCAATATTTAATGCTAAAAACATGATAAGAGGGTTTTTTTGCATTTCATTTTTTTTCTGATTTTACTGTATTACTTGTTTTTTGGAAGCAGTTTTGTTTGTTTAGTCATATACTCTTAGGTTTGTTAGTGAAATGGTCTTTTTATAGTTATGCCAGCATGTATATTTATATATTTCTTTTTTTATTTATTTTGTATGTGTAGTTGAAGTATTGAACGATTTGTAAATGTTAAGTGACTGAGAGAACCTCACTAGTGACCTTTTGTCAATATAGTCCTATAAAAAATACCTATATTAAATAGTAAACCTGTCAAATTTTGATCTTAGACAATGGTTTTGTTTTATTTTTCCGACAAACAATTAAAGGTGTATCCTCTGTAATGTGGTCTTTTGTAGACCAGTTATCTCTTCCTTCAACATCATCAATTCCTTCTAATGTAAGACTTTACAATCAGTTCTGCATGTCTAGAGTGACCTCTTTGTCTTATATGTTTATACGCATTAAGAAAATGACAATAGGCCATGATGTCTTATATTAAAAAAAAATGTGTTATTCCTCCAATTTTTGAGGAAAAAAAAGAAACATTTTACTGTTCTTTGATAACTGATGCACGTCCATGTCAGCATTACTATCACATGATGATCTACACATCTCTATTACAGACAAAATGAAGACCTGGTAATTGTTTCAGTTCCTCTGTTACAAAAGTAATGTCATATGTACCTTTAATACTAGAATGTTCTTACCATAATGTATTTCATAGGTAAAATCAGTCGGAACTATAAATTTCGTTTTATTTCATATGGTATTTTTAAAGAGGTATCTAACGTCAAAGTTAAATGTTTTTATTTTTATACTGTGCATTTTCTTGAATAAATTCATGCAACGGTTAAACATTTAGTTTATGATATAAAAACTTAAAACGTGAACTTATTGTTTACTAGGGTAAGTGTACTTATGAATGATTGTTTTATACATATATATTTGTAGTTGTAATAGTGTAAGATAATGAAGGAGGAAACTAAATTATAATTTATTATATGTAGCAGTTAGACTTGTGCTAAATGTACAAACAAGCAAACTGAAAGATTTTTTCTTTTAAATTGTAAAGAAAATAAAGAAAAATAAATGCTAACAACGATGCCAAGACTTGATTTATTTTTTGCTCACTTGAGCACTTGGTTTTGAGAGGTAAGCTTTTGTTATTGCAATGTGTCTGTCATTTATTGTTATTAGCATTTTATTTATACATTTCCTAAAAGTTTTATTTGTGATAACTTGTGTAATCTTTTCACAGATTTTATTCATACCTGTACAAAAGAACACACATTCTAAAACCAACAGTTTTCAGTTTTCTGATATGACCTAGGCCTTTAATTGACCTTTCCTGTCAATGTTTAAATTATCAAAAATTTAAGACAATTATATAACTGTTCCAAAGGTTTCGTTTGTATTTATTCAGTCTCCTAGCATATCAATATAGAAATGAGCCGCGCCATGACAAAACCAACATAATAGGTTTGCGACCAGCATGGATCCAGACCAGCATCCGCGCAGTCTGATCAGGATCCATGCTGTTCCCTTACAAACCCTATAACAAGTAGAGAAACTGATAGCGAACAGCTTGGATCCTGATCAGACTGCACGGATGCGCAGGCTGGTCTGGATCCATGCTGGTCGAAAAACCCATTATGTAGGTTTTGTCATGGCGCAACTCAAATACAGTTTATATTGCCACTTACAAGATTAATGGTCGTCAGCTGATATAACTCGAGTCTATAGGACATATTAATTCAATTTTAAATATACTAATAATAAAATGAATGGTATAAATACTCTAAATGTATCAAATTCATTTAATGAAAGTGCATGACTACTTTGTGTCGCCTTGAAAAAGGCGACTTATAGGTATTACTTTTATTGTCGACGGCGGCGTCCCCATAGACTTGTGCGGAGAATAAGTCTGATTGACTCCAAAATTCGTCAGCCTGCTACTTTCAATGACTCGAAGTGCAGTGGATAAGAATAATTACTCTGCACTTTTTAATTTTTGAGTTATTGCCCTTTGTTTATTTTCATACTTTATTTTTTTGGGGCCATGTCTCCTAACCTATAAAAGCTATGGACTTGAAACCTTATAGGATGATAGATCTTAATGGGAAGGATTGCATTGCACAATAACTGGAACTCTACATTGTTGTTTTTTTTTAGTTATTTGCCTTTGTTAATGTTCATATTTCAGTTTTGTCCGAGCCATTTCTCCTAAACTTTAAAAGCTATGGACTTGAAACCTTATAGGATGATAGATCTTAATGGGAAGGATTGCACTGCACAATAACTGGAACTCTACATTGTTTTATTTTTTGAGTTATTTGCCTTTGTTAATGTTCATATTTCAGTTTTGTCCGAGCCATTTCTCCTAAACTTTAAAAGCTATAGACATGAAACTTCATAGGATGATAGATCTCCTTGAAATGAAGTGCAGTGCACAAAAACCGGTACTGTGTACTCCATGATTTTTTTAGTTATTGTGCTTTGTTTATTTTCTTACTTCATTTTTGTTTGGCTGCATGGATTATAAATATGTCTTGAAAAAAGCAACAATTACATTAAATTCAGTTTTGTTAATTCATTTAATGATTTAAACAGATTCTAAACTTGTCCGAGATGTATAACAAAGTCATGGCATTATCTTGTTATCATTAAGCGAAATATTCTTTATGTCGAGAACACTTACATATTTGTAAGAAAACATATTTGTAATTTAGTAACCATCGTTTGAGCAGAACATGTAAATATCAAGTAATAAAGGGGAATAACTCGTGAGAGCATAAAATGGATTCACACTAGCCATTTTGTAGTATATTGGCATATTGTTTCCAGGATATTACGATAGCATTACAATGCATCTATTGAAAAAATATTAAGTACATGTACTTCCACTATATTGTTAGATTGCTTTTTTTGGTTTTTTTATATAGGTGCTTTCCATCTGTCTGTCCGAATTTCATTTCAACGCTAGTTCTCTGCAACTACTTGCAGGAATTCAACGAAACTTTATGGGAACCATCAACACTAAGAGGAGATGGGCATATCGTTGCCTTGTTCTGGTAAGATGCTTCAGTACTGACTGGAATTGAATGAAACTTTATGGAAACCATTAATTAGGTTATGGCCCTTGATTTGTTATGCAGTATGTATCTCTGCTGTTATGTAGAGGAACACATAACATCGGAACAAGTTGGAAATTGTATTAAAAAAACTTAAGTTTCGGTAATGACTACCCTTATAATGCGGCTAGGTTTTGTTTTAACTAGATGTGTCATATAGATTATAACCTTCTTCAAGTGGCCAGCATTTGATTTGAAAAGTCCAGCATTTGATTTGTAAATCTTAAGTAATTTTGTATTTTTAACCAGGTTTTCAACGAAAACCGGGTTATTGTAATGCCGAAGTCGGCGGGCGGGCGGGCGGTCGTCAACTTTTGGTTTCCGCTCAATAACTTTAGTTTGCTTTGGCCTATTGACACCAAACTTGGTGTATGGATAGCTTATATCAAGAGGCAGCTTGGGATTGCTACCCAGGTGTCTGTGATCAAGGTCAAGGTCACTGTTACTAAAAATAGAAATTCTGTTTCCGCTCAATAACTTGAGTTTGCTTTGACCT